AAAAGCAGCGAAGTATATAAATAGGTTTGGATCAGATCACATCGCTACATGGACACGTGCCATCATCTACGCCATTGAGTCCTTTTTATTTCAGATTTTTTTTTTTGTACTCTTTGCAAATATCCATAAATGGTAGTAACAAATATACATTTTGTATATATCCTAAAATTTCAAGATATCTAATTTGAAAAGTAACTATTGGATCCGGTTCAAATCTGTAAAGATAACAGAAAAAAAATATTAACATAGGATTACAAAACAAAGAAATACAAAAAAATGAATGAAACATAGAAACGTAATTGATCTCTAACAAAAAAAAAACAGTAAAATGTAATACATTTATCAAAAGACCAATGCGTTTGCCCCTCGGTTCAGTCAAACCATAAAGACCATAATTGCAAGTGTGCATATGATGATCAGTTTGGTGCATTTAGGCTTTACGGTTGCTGAATCCGGAGGAGGAGGACTTGAAATGGGATCAAAATCGTCAAAATCAGATGGCGAAGAGGTCGAAATCGAAGGAAGTAGAGTGAGATCAAAGTCTTTTGCTTTCCCTTCTCTGCTAAAACTCCATCCAAGAACATAATGGTCGCTCGTGATGTTACCAGTGGATGCCGAAAATCCGACATACATCTTCTTCTCAATAAAGATCTCAGAAAGATTCATGTTTCTTGACAAAAGAGGAAACTTAGGTTTAGAAGTTTCAAGAGGAGCCAATGTGACATTGAGTAGCATTTCACCTCCATTGTATTCGATCCAAGCCCGAATCGGATCTTTCCCCGATAGCTTCAAGCTTATATTCTTGCTTTGCTTGTTGGAGAAAAACGCAGCTGGTGCGGATTCAACGGAGACCAAACCATTCACGTCGATCCCTACATGGTTACCGTCTATATCAAGAAACTCATTTGACTTCACCGTGTCGAATTCGACCGCGAGGATTCGGTTTGTGGAGTTTCCGTTGTTTGAATCGTTGAAGAGACCGAGAAATTGGCTCGGCATGGCTCGGGTGAAATCCATGGAAGGTGAGATCATAAAGGTTAAGCCATGACCTGGTGAGGCGATTGAGAAAACGAAACTTGTGGAGAAAGAAAGAGACTTTGATGAATTAGTATCGTTGTTGAAAGGTATGGGGAAGCCATGGAAGGCTTGACCCATTTGTCTCCTTGTGGTGTTTGTTAGCTCCAACATACCACTTGAGAGGATCTTAGAGGATCCAAACTTGAGTAGATTGGCTTCGAAAAAACCGTGGTGAAGAAATTCGGTTTCTTGTTGTTGACTTAACACGCAAGAAACTAGGCATAGTTGAGTGATTATAGAGAGAGCTATTGATTTGAAAGTAATTGCCATTGATGGGCAATCAAAGGCTAGTTTCTGATAATGTTGTGTGTTTGAAGTTGTTCTTATATATTCGGACAAAAGAATTACAATTCCAAAGGAGTAGATATTGTTGAACTGTTCCAAGTCTTTGTTTAGTTGATCGTGATAATTTGTGGAGATGGATTGTAAAGTGTAAACTTCTCAAACTAGCTTAGTATACAATAAAATAGAGACATAGAGAATGTATTTTGGGGGAAATATACGTGCAAGTAATAATCTATATACCTATTGGTTATATAAAAGCAAAAAATCATAGATCTCAGAGATGTCATCACTTAACTAATTAAACAAATGTGTAAATTCAACAACCGGCTAAATTAGTATTATTGAGATCTCTAAACTCAATTAAAATGCAAATGACAAGGATCATCATATATGAAGCCTAGTACGTGCACCCAACAATCCAACC